AGGTGCGTTCCCGTATTCCCTGCAGTAGAGGCACGGTATCGTATTGCCTGCAGTAGAGGCACGGTACCGTATTGTCAGGAGTAAACGGCGATACCGTATTGTGGGGAGCAGAGGCGCACGCGGTTTGGGGTTGTGAGTGCATGGGTGCCTTCCTGCGTGTTCACGCACACCCACGTGCACCTGTGCGTCCGCTTGTACAACCGCTCCGGCGTACACCCCATCTCTGTGTCTATTCACCTGCATGTACAGCTGACACTGGGTACAGCGGCCCATGTACTCACCCATGTGAGTGCACAGGCGCACACGCTGCCATGGTCACAGGCGTGTGTGTTCCTACACGGGTGTATCAGCATCCGATTGTGTCCCAGCAGCACAAGCGACACCAACGGTGCCTACAAAACCATTTATTTTGAGTACAAAAAAGCTTTCCTTGGGGGTGACAGAGGCGTTGGGGTTCCCATGCCCATCCCAGGGCCTTCTGGGAGGAAATACGGAGATTTTGGAGTCTCTCCATCTGTCCACATCATTTTGGGGGTGTCACACCGCTTTTGGGTGTCCCCATTTGAGCCTTTTAGGGGTGTCAAGGTAGTTTTGGGGTCCCTCATCCATCCCAATCCCCTTGGGAGGAAATCACAGTAATTTGGGGGGTCCTGTCCAGGTCCTTTTGGAAATCATCCAGATTTCAGGGTCCTAATTTTAGGCATTTTTAGGGTGTCACGTAGGTTTTGGGGTCCCCTCGGGGTCCTTCTCAGGGTGTCGCACCGGTTTCAGGGTCCTTCTTGGGGTGTCACACTGATTCTGGGGTCCTTCTCGCAGTGTTACCTGGGTCCCAGGGTCCTTTTTGGGGTTGTCACCCGGTTCCGAGGTCCTTTTTGGGGGTGTTAACCGGTTCCGGGGTCCTTCTCGGGGTGTCCCCCAGTTCGGGTGTCCTTTTCGGGGGTGTCACAGCGCTTTCCTCTTGCACCCCAACACGATGCCCATGATGAGGAGCTCGGTGAGGGCCGGCAGGGCGCTGGGTGGGGGGGGCAGAGAAAACAAAGCAGTTTCAGGCTTTTTGGGGTGGGGGGCAGGTTGGGGACAAG